GGGCTACCGAAGCGGGGGTGCCATCCCCTCTGCAGAGGATCAAAATTGTGATGGCATGTCTTCGGATCATCCTCAGGGATGTTTCCCAGACCGTCGCCAATAGCCCATTGTGTAGCTCTAGTGCGACGTAAATTAACAACAACAACAGCAGAGGGATATGAATTTCTGGAGTAAATAATTCAAAATGGATGTCCATCAATTTTAACGAGATTTATTTAATCTTACTGATTATGTCTTGTTACATGCAATTTCTAATTTTATTAAAATAATGCATTTAACCATGCAGCAGCAAAATAAAATTTAAAACGTAAAACAATTGTTTTATGTTAAATATCAAATCAGGCAACAAAATAAAAGAAAATAGATATGAAAATGAGATTAGAATGTTTGGAGATACTACGCTATTAGCACTTATTTTATACACTGTAAAAAATTCCGGATCAAATAACAGCAAAAAGTACCGGCACTCAGGGTTCTGGTATTTTCTACTATAAAATTTAATTTTACTGTAACATGTTATGGAACAAAAATCTGACGTATCGTGACTTTTACAGTAATCACTAAAAATTCATTTTAATTAAATGAACATTACTGTAAAAATTACGGTATAATATTTTACGTTATAAATGGTTTTTATGCTACAATTGTCTCTTACGGATAATGCACCCAACCCAAAGTGTCGGTATTTTATACAGCAGTTTGATTCAACATCTTTGATATTGTCTTATCGAAAAGTCGTAATAATTAATTCGGAAATTTTCAAGAGAAAGTGAGGGAGGATAAAAATGTAATATGGTCGAAGAAATGCATTTTTAGAAGAGAGATAATAGTTTTAGTGTAGATTACTGGATTTGTTGATTTCTTACAAATCGGTGTTCATTTAAAAATGAAATAAAATTACAGTATAATCAATTGTTATATAAATGTTAATTAAATAATTAATTTTTGTGAATTAATTTTTTCTAAAGCATGAATATTTGTAGTCACAATTTTCAAAATATCATTTGAATACTGATTTGATGTCTTCTTATTTTCAGTTTTATGTTCTTTGACAGAATTGTTCTGTTTAGTGTTATATTATTTCCATCACAATGAAACATTAAACAGATTAATTCGACAATCTTTTCATAAGCAGCAGTCTCGAATTTTGCACTACACTGTTAGAATTTTTATTCTAAAATTATGGTAAAATAATCGGCAGCAGTCTGTCCATCCTATTAACCGTAAAGTTTACCTTTACGGTTTTGAAAATGTTTACAACTAGCATGGTTATAAAACCATGAATACAAAACTATACGGTTACTATATTCTATACACTACATGGTTAATCATTTGGAAATGGTTACCCATGGTTTCAAAACCATGAAAACGAGATCTAACTGGACATAGGAGATAGGCTTTTCGTTAGGTAATGGGCATTGGAGAGTACAGAACACAGATTGTTGAAGGGAATGTAGGAAATATTGTGGTGTCAACGTTGGGACTCGAACCTCAGATCTGTCGGTTTTAAGACTAACAGATTGACCCTCTCAGCTATAATATGTACGCAGTTTCAAGGAACTAAGTGGATTCATTAGGCTGGGCTAAGTTGGTTCGATAAAATTATCGAATTAGGTTAAAGTAGTTAACGAATGGTTTTCAAACAGTTAGCAGTTTGATTACCATTCTTATCTATGGTTATTTTACTGCTAAATTTGAATATGGTAAATTAAGAATTAAATAAACTATTATCTAACAATTTTTTTCCGAGAAATTTCAAACAGTATACTAGTTATCATCTGAAATGATTGCCATTCTTCAGCCAATTTCAATTTTTAACTGGACCATTATTTTACGGGACTATAAAGTTTCAGTATAACAGAATTTTTAAGAGATGTTTTGTTTAGTACAACAATGTTTGCATTGTCAACGTCACTCACGCCAATGTGTTCCCAAACTTAATTGACCTTTCATTTTGATCATCGGTTGATGCTGCTGTATACATAAAGTTAAATAGTGTAAGTCTTAACCGATTTCCAGACATTCTTTTCTAGCTTTGAAGAAAGAAATTTAAATCGTCAACCTTATTGCATAATAACTTTCTACAAATCCTTTGCGTTCCGAAATCAAACTAAAGTCACAATTTTTGAGCGAAAATTCGAATTTGTCCTTTAGAGTAAGATCAATAAATTGATCACGTGGTATACCTTTTAATAAAAGAACGAATGCCATATGATGCAAAAACACTAAAAATGATATAACATATTTTTTATATTTTTCTGAAACTAATTAGGTAAAAATATCTATTTTATGTGAGAAAAAAATTTTGATTATTAAAATCACTTATAAAAACCGATACGATTTGCCTTCTAAATAAATTCAAATTCAATGTAATTTAACCTTCTGTTTCAAAGTAGACAAAGTATTTACAAATTAGAATTTTGTATACACAATATTTACATTTGTTAAGGTCAGTCACATCAATTTGTTTCCTAATCCCTAATTCAAAAGGAGCGTAAAATTGCTCTTTTCTGACTGATAGCATTTTTTTTATACATAAATTAACGCGTTATGTAAGTCAAGATCGTAAATTGTACATTTTGATTAGCTGTTAGTGCTGCCATCCATATAAAGTTAAATAGTGTAGATCTAAATCATTTTTTTCCTAGCCTTGAAGGTAGAAATCTGCATCAACCATGTAGTAAAATAATTTACTACAAATCTTTTGCTTTCCAAATTTGAATGTGATGATCAACGAAGCGGCAGATTATTCACTTTGACATCCGAACAAGAATCTTCGAAAATAAATTGATAACCTTGTGTAATCCGACTGTTCTACTGGCATTCGTGACAATATGTTGAAGTTTCTAAGACATAGGTGGCATCAAGGTCGCCCGAAAGATAGGTTTCGTACCGAAAACAATACTTTAATAAGACAGTTCTCTTTTTTACGCGAGAAAGTGCAATAAAACACCGTGAAGCAGGTCAAAATAATTCTCAACTGCTGTCATATGGGTATAAAAATATGGTCTGAAGTTTAGGGGAGGTGGTTATATATTTATACACCTATAAAAGCTATATTGGATGGCTTAAGTTATCAGTACACTGATCAGAAAGGTTTTAGTTTGGTAGAAAATAATCATGGGGAAATTGGTAAGTGATTGTCTCACATTTTGCTCAGGGGAAATTTTGGACTATTTCAAAAAAGACAACAATAGCTCAAATTTCATGAGAACTTAATCTTAGAGTATTAAAATAAAAAGAAATTTAAACAATGAATCATAAATTAAGTTTAATTTAACCGGGCGTAGATCTAAAAAATAAATAAATAAATTGATTAACAATTTGAATAGAAAATTGAATTAATATCTAGGTATAATGAATTGTAGTTTAATACTTATATGAATTCTCCTCCACTACAGTAATGTTACTTTAATATAAATTGAAAAAGCTCTAAATAAATAAAATTAGGAAAGAAAAATTGCAAATAAGTATAAAAATTGTGTCAACACATAAATTCAACTTCAAAGAAAACTTAATAACAATCTGTTTTGACAAAAAGTTTCACGTATATTTTGAAATTAACTAGTTATAATTTAATCCTTATTCATTTTGCTTTCATCTTGAAAAATAAATAACTTGCATCGTAAGTTTCAAATAATGAACTAAAGTTACTGTTATTCGACTTATTATGTTTGTATACTGAGTTCAAAGTGAGTTAGGTACCAACTTTTTATACTGTATGTAAAATATTGAATAAGGAAATCATCTTGATAAGCAATAACTTATAAGTTAGATATTTTTGTCCTAATAATGCATAATATTTTTTCATTGTATTATACAACTGGTTATATTCATGATAAGAAAATATATTTTATTTTATAATTTTGTAAGTTTAAATAACACAGAAAGTAAAGTAGGCATTGTATTTAGAAAATTTAACTTTTGGTGCAATGATTATCTTTTTTAATTTATGCATGCTTTAAGGTTCAAAGATTAGATTTTAAATATGCTTATTACCCAGTGCTATTTATGAAATTAAGTTACTAATTATATTATCTTATGTGTCTTTTTACTATTTTTTTTTGTATATTGATGCAATTTTTATCCCTCATATAGCAATCTGTTCCGATTTTTAATCCATTTGTTTTAAACTACATCAAAATTACACAATGGATATGCTCTTTCTATGTGTTAATTTAAACAATAGTATGAAACATAAATAATTATTTTTATATGAGTTACTTTTAAACAGAAAAAAAATGTGGAAATTATATTTCAGAAAAGCTTTAAATGTTACGAAAACTAGAAATTTTTTCTCTCCAAATAATCCCTGAAACTTTATTATTAAATTTTCAAAGCGTAATAAAATTAACTTTTCTGCAAAAATTATCAAAATGTTTTTGAAATGACCAAAATTATATTTTCAGAATATTTTTCATATTATGATTTTCTTAGGGGCATTTCAGTTTATAATTGTGATGTTTTATGCTATATGGCTTATTAAATGCTCCGTTTTTTATTTCACTTCCCCTTTTAATATTTATTATCTTGAGTAAAAAAGTGACTAAGAATGCAAAATGTCTATTCATGCCCTTCAGTAATAAAAATGATAAGTTTTTATTTTATTTTTACTTCTTTTTTATTAACATTTTTAAAACTTGTTCAAAATGTTATCTTGGTTAAACTGTATATTTCAACAAATACGCTGTTGGAATTATATAACTTGCTTCAACTTTTACGAAGTAAAATTTGAATAAATCTTTAATGTATGAACCATTGTTGCGACTAGTTTTATTATGAACTTTATATGCATTTTAAAGTTATAACTTTAAAATTCTTCCCTACAAGTTTCGTTTGCACAGCGATTTTATGCTTTTGTTACGCATATTTAAACTAGAAATCTGAATTAATCACCATTGACACGGCACTTCCGGACGGAAGAAATCTGGACGGATCATTTGACGGAAGAAATCTGGATTCTCTCTGACAACGGAAGTGCAATATAATATTTTCAAAATTGGAAACTTGTTAGGAACCAAAAGGAAATTAAAATTATAGAGAAATTCATGACTCTGTTTGGTTCTTCTGTGCTTCACCTGCAATAGATTCTGTCCCATGTGAATTTAAAACATAAGGATGTTGTTGATGGGCCAGCCAAATATGACAATTCCATGATTCAGGCTAACGCTGAACCACTGACGTACCTTGAATTGTACCAGATAAGTAAGACTTCCATAAAAAACCTCTTGAAAACAACCACCATCACATTGGTATCTTAGTGGGAGTCCTGGTGCTTCAAATAGTTTTAAAGGTTGCAGATGAGATCAGATTACTTTAGCTCGATTGTCCACTGGAAGCTTAAAGCCCTCATATTTCCTGTGGTCCTAAGGATTAAAGGAGAACGAGCCCATGGATTTGATCTGATTTAGATCAGAGGGATGCGTGTCATCATCATCATCAAACTAGAAAGAAAATAAAATCCTTGATGTATAAGGGAAAAAGTACATCGAGAAAAAAAATATGGCTAAAAATACTAAAATATGACAAAATTTACCGTGTTTCTGTCTCCATGGGAACGACAAAAAGCTCCGTAATTTTTACAGAAACGAAAAGTTACTTTTCTGATTTGCATTTTTCACTAAATGTGTGGTAATAAGAACTATAATTTTTAAAACCAGAATTTCCGATAAGCCATTACCATATCAGTTGAAAAATTACCAAATGAATGGTTTAAATTTCATATATTTTGGTTTTATTAACCAGAATTATGTTTTTATTTTATTTACTTATTTAAATTTTTTTTTTATACTCGAAACGCTACTGTTATACAGTACGGTAGTTTTTTGAAACTTCTTTTTTCTCCGTGTAGTTTTACTTTAGGCAATAACTGTTTCATATAAAAAGAAGTTATGCATAATTTTTATATAAAGTAGTTAATATAAAGAGTTACTCAAGTCAAAAGGTGAACATCACTGTTTGCAGTTGATAATAATTTTTTCATAATTATAATATTGTTTAATAACTTTTTAAAAATAATAATTTTTGAAGTTGTAATATCGCTTGACAAATGTATTTTATAACTCAATGGAATACTTTTTGATTCGTATGAACAGTTCCTAAGATATAGCAAAACGTAATTAAAGGATGAAATTAAAATTTAAAGAGCATAAACATTCGATCGATCTCCTAACTAAACTATTGAAATGATGTTTTCCAAATTTCTGCCCCAACTTCGTTCTTTGCAGTACGTGAAAAAAAATAATGTTCATTTAGAAAGAATATGCTCGTGTGTCTGATTTCATAATTTTACCTACAGGCAGCATATTTGAATTTCAGTGTGCGTAATAATGAACTGTTGGTAACGAATGTGTGATTGTGAAAACAACTTTGTGAAAATTCAATCATCAGATCAAAATTCATAGAAGGTGATTATTTTCTTTTCAACTAAGTAGAGAAGAACGTTCCTAAAAGAATCAGAAAAATTTTTCATTTTATTTTTTGAAACGTAAAATTTTTCTTTTTATTGATATCAAAATTAAAACAAACTTTTCATTTACGTTACAGAAAAGTCGTACTATTGAGTTACTTTCAAGCACATAGTGAAAATAAGTATGGCCGTGTTTCTGGCTCTAAGGGAACACCAAAAGGCTCAGTAATTTTCACCAAAGTAATTTGGTTAGGATTTTGGTAAAATTTACAATAAAATATAATTTTATAATGCGTGATAAAATTTGGTAATTATGGTAAAATTTGGTACTTTTTCATAGTACCTAAGGCCATATCATAAAAACCATTTATTTGGTTAAATTTACTTTTCAGTTTTGTATTTTATGGTAGTAAGAACTATAATAGTTAAAACTAGAAACTTTCGGTAAGCTGTTAGCGGTCAGGTTATCGTCCTATTAGTAAATTTGATTATGATAGCATACCTACAAACAACGTTGTCAGAGAAATGCACTCAAATCTAGCATTCATAAAATATGGCGATATAGTAGTGGACTTTTAGTATTTAAAACTTTTAATTATAGTAATAGTTTCTTTAAAAAATCTTTTTTTTTATCATATAGTGATTATCTCTAAAACTTTTTCTAATGATACAGATATCGATGTAAGGATGAACAAGTCTCATTGTTATATTATAATTAGAAAAAGATGCTACAGTTTGCAAACGCAAATAATTATTTGCTGCTAATTTATTGGTAAAATTTCAAAACTCTAAAACTATTGTAACGTTATGTTGACTATGAATGAAAGAATATCATAGTAATTTGACTATTAATTATTAAAAAAGCAAAAAAAAAAAAAGCTTTGGGTGTTACAATTTTTCAGAACAGCAAGCAAAGTGTTGTCTTCACTATAATTGAATAGTAATCCTTTTCTAAGAAATTGTTAAATTATAATTGCCGTAATAACATTTAATGTGTGCAATGTGTTATTATAAATGTAACACATTAATTTCTAATTAATATTGATGCTTAAATTAATTATAATTTTACAAAATGATTAATTATTATTTTTCGAATTTGCGCGCGCAAAGTTATGTTCGCAAAATTCCGGCAGCAAAGATTTGACTCAATACCACTAATAATATCAAGTGATAACTTTTTTAAATGTACGTAATGTATGTTTCTGGAATGATATTTTCATTTCAGTCTCTTATTTGATAAGAACTAAGCTATTATTTTAATGTTGTAGCGAGATAATATGAATTAAATTCTTGGATGAACTTAATAAATAAATGAATGAATTCAATTAATAAATGGATCAGAGAAAATGTATGAATGTAAATTTGAATAAAATGAAATAGATGAGTGAATGATTAAAAATTCGTGAATAAATAATTTTAAATAAATTATTGCGTCATTTAAATAAATTAATGAATAAGTTAATCACTTAATTAATTAGAAGCATAAACAAAGGTAGGGAAAAAATTATTACATGTTAGGCATGTTTAGTCGTTAGGGAATGCATGCATGAATGTATGAATAACTAAATGAGGCAAATGAAGCAATAAATAATTCAAATAATGACAAAAATAAACGAATAAAAATGATGAGTTAAATTTAAAGTAAGTCAAATTGGTTATTGATGAATGAATGAAAAAATGCTTGGTTAATTATTCACTACCAATTTTGCTTGCTAACTATTTTAAATAATTTTGTTACTATTGAATTTAAAAATTTCTTGGTATTAGCATTTAAGTGACTGCGTCACGGAAAAAAACTATTCAATCCCACAAAATGTACATAATTTACTGGCATTTCTGTTAATTTGTAATGAAGGCGTGATATTAAATTAAATTGAAAGTATACTGAAATAACAAAAAATACATACCTTCTTTCGAATTTAAAACTTAAATGTTATAAATATATTCTTAAAACTATATTCGTTGTAAAACTATTATTAAATACTACAACTTTTTACAAGCAACTCACAAGTGCTTTCAAAAATATGTTCTACGAGGTTTAAGGTAAATAAAATAAAAATTTCAGTAGGAAAAAGAGCAGAAGGGTATAAGATTATGCGTGATCAATAAATTAAAAAAAAATTATTTGAACTTCAAGTTTGTCAACTTTTTGGCCAGATTTTGCACTGACGAATGTTATCGCTTCATAAAATAGATTTTTGAAAAATACTTTGCGAATTATCAATATTTAAATAAAATAAGTAAATTATACCGACAATTTTGTTAACTTTTCAAGGTACTTACATGAACTGATTTTCTTTCTTTAACGTAGAAATTAGAATCAACAATTGTAAATTTCAGAGTCACGAATTAGGCTCAGGTTCAATTTATGCAGGTTTAAGCATTATTCTCTACAATTGCTATTTTTATTAGTAGATAAAATGAAAGAAAGTTCGTGAATAAATTGTAATGAATTTCTGAGTGCCGACTGTTTTGTCCTTGCAATTTTTCTTTTATTATTTCCAAATTTTTCATCACATTTTTACAAAAATGACTCAAGTCAATAAAATGAGTTCTTTAGACTGTCATGTTCAAAAATATAAATATTTCTAAAAATTGTATAAACTGCAATGCAATTATGAACAGACTAATTGTGAATTAATAGAATTCAGTCGTGTAATTTATACACGCAAAAGAAATTGGGAGCCGTTTGAGCATATTACGTTGAGACTGTATTTAACGACTTAATTTATTATTTTAAATTTATTTTCTCTTACTACTCAACGTGTCAAAATTTAGTGGTTAAAGTTAGTTATATTAAATTTTGAATTCTCTCCTTAGGATGTTTTCTTGGAAGAATACATAAACGAAGCAAATAAAAGATTCTAAAATTATTTTCTTTTACTTTTCAACGTATCGTGATTTGGGGGGTTAATATTAGTTATATTTTGAATGCTCTTGTTAAGATCTTTTCCTTAAATAATGCAGAAAAAGAAGTAAATAAAGATTTTAAATATTTATTTTCTTTAAGGATTTAACGTGATGAAAATTAGCGGTAGTAGAGCACTCAAAGTTATTAAGCTTTGAATGTTCTTGTTTAGATATTTTCTTAAAAGAATACAGAAAATGAAGTAAATTAAAGATTTTTAATTTACTTTCTCTTACTACTCAACATGTCAAAGATTAGTGGTTAAAGTTAGTTAGATTAAATTTTGAATGTTCTCCTTAGAACGTTTTTTCGGAAAAACACGTAAACGAAGCAAATAGAAGATTCTAAAATTATTTTCTTTTACTATTCAACGTATCGTGAACTAAGGGTTAATCTTAGTTATTAAATTTTTAATGCTCTTGTTAAGATCTTTTCTAAAAAGGAAACATATAGCTACGTGAATAAAAGATTTTCAATTTACTTTTCTTTTACTATTCAGCGTATCAGAAAGTACAAGCATGATAGTGTTTCAATTTTTTGCTTGTCTGGTTAAAAGGCAAACTGTGATGGTCATAAATTTTTCAACCAGTATGCATTGTTTTCACGATTGAATTAATATCGTTTTGTGAATAAATTTAAAAATATACGTTATTTATAGTGGAAAGTGAATTTTCAAATCTGTTTACTGTAAATAGTAAATGTCACGAATCTTTCCGCTTAACCAATTTCTGAAACAGGTAGCTTTTACTTTTGTCTTTTGTGTTGGAAAATAAGTTTCGATGAAATTGTTAAGGACATTTAAATAAATATTTAAAATTCCTATTTTATATTTAATGCATTTTTTTAAATGGCGTAAAATTTTTTAATAAAATATAATGTTTAATAGCAAACTTTTAGTAAATATTTAATAATCGATGAAATGTCTTTTTAGTTTCATATCCTAATTCTACAAGTTAGTAGAAATTGCTTTTATTTTATTTTTAAAATAATTAAAATTTCATATAATTAGTTGAAACAAAAATGTTTCAACATTATTCGTACTCAAATATAAAATATCGATTAAATGCAAATTTAGTTTCTGCTTATTCAATAGTTAAAAATACTTTTCTTACTTTAAAAAAAAATTAATCCCATCTAAAAATGACTGGACATTTCTCTTTACCTGTTATATTGTTGCAATATTATTATTATACTTACAGTGTATTATTATACCTACTATGTATTCCATTTTATTATTATATGTACTCTATATTTTCTTTAATTATTATATTTACTCTATATTTTCGTTAATTATTATATTCATTTTATATTTTCTTTAAGTATTATATTTACTCTATATTTTCTTAATTATTATATGTACTCTATATTTTCTTTAATTATTTTATTTACTCTATATTTTCTTTAAATATTATATTTACTCTATATTTTATTTAATCATTATATTTAGCATTATTATTTCATTGCAATTTTCAAAAATTATCTGAGTTTGTTGCCAGATTGATCCTGTTCTCAAAAATTTTCTAACTACAAAATAAAGAGGTTTGTTTAAGCACGTACACACAATCTTCAAAATAATATACGATCGTGTGAAGTGTACAAAAAGTGCTTTGCACTATTTTCTAACATGCCCCTCCTTTTTAAAGGAAATCCTGGATTCCTACTTTTGAAATTTCTAATGCGACTAATTAAAATAAATTTTTATTTTCATCTCGAACTTAATAAAATGATAAATACTTAGAAAAATCGGCTCAAAGATGAATCATAATAGGGTGAAAATTTTCTGCAACCCTATTAGATTGAATCCTGTTTCTGTTCAAGATTAACCATAGTATCATGTAATTTAGTATTAGCAATTATGTACAAGAATATTACCATTTACTTCGAACAATTGATTTTGGCGTGAAATTTGGTAATTTAATAGTTTTGTGCGGGTAAATTACCTTTCCGCAAAATATTGTATCGCAATTTTTACAGTAATATTAATTTGATTAGAGTGATGTAGTGATTTTACGGTAACTATTGCTGTAAAATTATGGTATTTCTTTTTATCGTAATTTGATCCGGAATTCTTTTTACGCAGCAGGCATAAATATTGTAATTATGAAAATGAAGGAAAATGAGCCATCAGCCTAATAAAGGGAACCGGTAGCCTACATTGGGTCGCGGAGTTTCCATAAAAACGCAGGAACCAATTTGATAATATTTTTTTAAAATTAAAGTTCCACCTTAATGTAAGTATGCTAACTTCATTAAGTATACTAAACACTAAAAAACGATCACCTGTTGTCAGTAATTATGAAAATAATGGAAGTTACCCAACGAAAGAGCAGGTCCAATGATTGAAACCTTCCATTAATACGGTTAAACTTAACACCATATTAAGGTTGACGCAAGTTTGGATGATAGTAAGGTCCAGTACTCTCCAAAATTTCCAGCATTAAAATTATATTGGTATTAATATACTTTTGTTTTCTAGGCGGTATTATTTGCTCTCGGTGTTCTAATATGTGCAATAGAACAGTCTTCAGGAATGGGAACATATTATTGGACCTACCCTGGAGCGCAAAGTGGAGCTCTTGCCTACCCCGCACCTGTACCATATCAACCATACCAGCAATTCGCACCTTATGCAGCTTTTGTTCCTGTTGATTGTGATGAGAACAAAGTAGCAGATGAAGGCAGCGATAGTGGTAGTAGTAGTAGTAGCAGCAGCAGCAGCAGCAGCGAAGAAAGTGGTGAAGCTCCAGGTAACCACAGCTTGATTATTTGCCATTTTTTTTACTCATTAAAAATATTTTTGGAGCAGTTCAAATACTACGTAAGCAACAAAGAAGGGGAGGAGGATTAATTTTGTTAAGGGTCGGAGGGGTATGAGCAATGTTTATGTAAAACACTAAAACTCACTGATTTTTAGTTTTTTTTAATGTATTTGGAAGCTCTTCCCCTTATTCGCTTCTTTGCGCTCCATTGGCGCAGTCAGTTAAGGTGTCACTCACACTGCTGATTGGAGATCTGGTGATAGTGAGTTCGATCACGGCAGCCGGCAAAACAAACGGAGTCTATGAGCAGAAAAATGCGCGTTAAATCTGTCGTGACTGAAAGTCCTTTTTTGGTTGTGGTGGGAAATTCAAAATGATAACTCAGCTGACAAAATTTTAACTCTGTAGTTGCATTTCAGTACGCAGTAGATCTACCAGAAATTTCTTTTAACTTCAAGTTTAGCAGTTAATAATTCTCAAACTAGTTATTGAATCTCATTTTTTTATTTAATCTAACTCTTTGTACATTTTTCTACAGACAGTCGTAATATAAAGTTTTTTGTTTTAATAGATTTTGAGCTGCAAAACAAATAGTAAAGTAAAACAAAAAAAGGGAGATAAAAATTACAAAAAAACTCATTTAAAATTACAATAGTTTTCTAAAGAATTGGAATTTAAAAAAACCCCCGCTGAATTGAGTTTCTAAAACAATATGGTCCTTTCAGCATGCCTAATTTAAACTCTGTAGTTGCATTCCTGTGGCCAGTAGAGCGGGCCGTGCGGTATTTATTCCAACAAGTTCAACAGTAAATAATTTTTAAACTAATAATTAAATCTTGATTTTTTTTATTTCATCGCAATCCCTGTGCACTTTTGTACACACAATAGTAACATTTCAAGTTTTTAAGTCTTATAAGTTTTTGCATAAAAAACAAAATATAACGTTAAGTTTGTACACCTGAAACAGCGACGGCGGACCTTAAAATTTTTTAACACACACAGAAAAAAGAAATTTTTTTTTTGCAAAGCATTGCAAAAGGAAAACTTTTAATTTTGAAATAAAAAAAAGTGTTTCAAAAAAGGCAAAAGTGGAAAAAGATTTTGACCACAAAATAATAACACAAACGATTCCTAATGACTGAAACAATTTGCAGCAAATGATCTTATGCGTGTAGTTAAATACGCTGAAGTTATAGAAAATGCTGGAGGAATAGACGCAGCAGAAGTTGTTTAAGATTTATATCGAGTTAAGTAAGAAAAATAAGCAATGACAAAAAAGACATGCCTGCAACAACATTGGGCATAATCTAATTAAGTTACTATGCGTAAAATTTAAATCATTTTACGCTTTAATTCTTCTGTTTAAACACATGCTAAAATGAAAAATTTCCCATTCAAAACTTTATAAAAATGAATTAAAAAGTCAATTTTGTTTTATATGAAGCTAAATCTTTTTTTTATATTTTATCATAAAATTTTAAATTAAATTATTACAGTAAAAATTAAGCAGAACACAAAGGGTGTTGCGACTGTTTTATGTAGGCATGAGAAGGATTTGAGATTTGCTTATTTTGCTAACCAGAGACAGGGGAGTTTTTGACCCTTGACCTGCATACTTATGTAATATTTTTACGTTTTTTTTGGTATTTTGAAATCAAATTTTAAAACATTTCGGAATTCCCCCCTTTTCTTTTTGGCTTGGAAATTTACGTTGATGCCAGAAGCTCCCAGGGCTGTAAATTTGATTAGATTAATTTTATTCTAGAAATGTCAAAGTTAGGAGGCAAATAGTCTCTTTGATTAATTAAAGTGAAATAAACTTTTTTAGAAATTTTAGTTTTTTAGCTATGGTTAATTGATCAAGTGGACCACTTTGATTAAATAAGTACATAAAAAGCTCAAATGATGTATATATATATATATATATATATGAAGAAAAAACCTATTAAGAAGCTTTTTGAGTAAGAGAAC